CAAGCAGTCACTGCAGAGTCGGTAACGACTGAGCGCAGATTAAAAAAAAACAACAAAACCAAAAAGCTATTGCATGTATAGAGTGATTACATCAGGCATAGACTAAACCAGTCTTCTCCAAGCTGTTGCCTTCCATTCAGAATGGGACTGATTGAGGAACCAAGTTGCACAACCTTAAATTGTACTTTATAGTGGAATCTGAAGAACTAGGGCCTGTATGCAGGGTGGCATATTTTATTTTCATTCTACACTGGAAATAAAACAATTATGTTTCAATTGGATTGTCTCTTTATGTTCTTCTAATCAAAAGTTCATGAAATGAAGTCCAGGGTTTTTTAAATAATTATTCATATTTTTTGTTCTTTCCTGGCAACTTGAACTTTGTGGGTGTATTTTTTTTTTTTTTTAGGAAATGATTCAAGTACACTCTCCCAACCTTGGTTATTATTGTATTTTATTTCCTCTCTTGAGCCCTTGCAGTGTCACACCAACATTAGCTTTGTACCTCAGGCCTTGCTGTGGCAAGTCTGTTGTCACTTCACTTCTATTTCACCCTTTTCCCCACCTCCAGATCAAAACTAAATCAGAGACTGTTCATCTGAGCAGCCTGCCAGTAAATGGAATTCATGAAGTGCTATCTGCGCTTAAACCATCTAGAAATAATTTCAAATGGCATGTAATTGCAGCTCACTTTCCCTATCTTTCTTGCAGCAGGTTTCTACTCTTTGGGTTTTTTTTTTTTAAAGTTGTCATGGATCTAGATGTCTAAAATAAAATCACTCCACTCTTGCTCTGGTACAGGCTGGATGGTATTTAAATATGCTCTGAATATCACTATTCATCCTGTTACTATTACTGAAAGGACAAAAATGAATTTTGATTTATATTACTTTAATATGAAAAACATGGTCAATATTTCCTCTTCTGTTAAAGTAAAAATTTTAGTTAGGAAGGACTTTGGAGGCTGTGCCCAAGGCCAGAGGGGGGACACAAGTAACTCTGGGACCAAAGGTTTTATATCCCCTTTCTCTGTTAATATACAACATAGAC